TTTGAAGGTCTGTTTCCACAGAAATCACAAACCAGTTAGAGCGTTTTTGAGTAGTTCAAATCGCGAACAACCAGTTTCCTAATTATTTCCAACCAATGAAATTCGCTCTGACTGGTTTGTGATTTCTGTGGAAACAGACCTAAAGGGTCCCACAGACTACGTTTTTGTTGGATGGTTTTGTTCGACGAGCAAATCTGGTCGAGCAAAAACGACGCAAAACCGAAGTGTGTGTACGAAAAATTGTCGTTTTTGCTGGCATACAAAACCGATGCAAATATCTGGCTTTGCCTGATTTTGTCCGTCGGATATGTTCGATATGTCAACAAATCTGAAGTGTGTGGGCTACGAATTTTGAAAAATGACGGTTTTGTGTGGTGTGTGTTGCGTAGCCACAGAAATTTATATTATTAACTTATTAAAAAAAAAACAAAAAAAATTAAAAACTTTTCAACATGACTGATCTTCGCCAAACTAAACCGAGGTCTGTGTGCAACTCCGAACCGTCGTTTTTGTTCGACCAGATTTGCTCCTCGAACAAAACCGTCAGACAAAAATGTAGTCTGTGGAGGCCTTTAAATGATTGCATGAAATTTGCTGTCAGTGTTTATTGGTCAGTGTCACGAACAAATTAATTTGTCATCGTTTCTTTGGCCATGATTTTATCTACATTGTGAGCCTAAGCCTAGATACTCGCAAAAAAATGGAACACAAGAGAACGAGGATATACCAGAACATTTAGCATATTTTAGATGGAGCCCCCAATTCCTGCATCAGCTTAAAGGTCGTTTCAAAAAACTCGACTGCTGCCCGAACTCCGCTCCGCGTCGTTCGGTCAACTGCAGTCAGCGTGCGAACAAGACTTACTTTGCGCACTCGTTAGGAAATATACTATTTTCTACGAGAGTGTGCAAAATAGGTACTTTGCACACGCAGTTGATAGTGCAAAATTTAATTTTGCGCACTAGTGCGGACAAGAGTTGATTTTGCGCACTAGTGCTGACAAGATATAATTTTGATAAAGTACCAGTAAAAATATTCACGTACCGGTAAAAGGTATGTTTCCACAGAAATCACAAACTAGTCAGAGCGTTTTTGATTGGTTCAAATCGCCAACAACCAGTTTTCTGACTATTTTCAACGAATGAAATTCGGTCTGACTGGTTGGTGATTTCTGTGGAAACAGGCCTTATGATTACATGACATTTGCCGTTAGTGTTTATAGGTGTCACGTCAGTGTCAAACAAATTAGTTTATCATGTCTTCTTTGGTCGTTATTTTAACTACGTCGTGAGCCTAAGCCTACATACTCGCAAAAAAATGGGAAACATTGCAGCAGAAGAGAACGAGAAAATACACCATATTTTAGATAGAACCGCCAGTGCCTGCAATAGTCTGATACCCCAAAGGTCATCCGAAAAATCTCTCAATATCGTTCACAATAATCAAATGAAATAATTAGTTTTTGGTTGTTTTTGAATGAGTATTTTGTTTCGAATCTTTTTTTTTTAAGTTTATTGCCTCATTTTTTATTTTTATAAATTTTCTCGCTCGTAGAAAAAATACTGTTCCTGACTCTTGCGCAAAGTATCTTGTTCGCACTCGACTGCTGCCCGAACTCCGCTCCGCGTCGTTCGGTCAACTGCAGTCAGCGTGCGAACAAGACTTACTTTGCGGACTTGTTAGGAAATATACTATTTCCTAACTTTGACAAGCCACCATTTCGGCAGGGTAAATAGTAGCAACTTAAAACTTTTGGGATACAATCTTAATAAAAATATCTACCAAATCACTCGAACTCCCTTTCCTATTGAAATTTTGGGGGTATCTGTCACCCCCGCTTAAGGGTTTACAAATAGTGCACGAAAATACGAGAAAAATGAGTCCCCCAAAAAACAAAAATTGACCCGTCCTGCGATTTTTGATTAAACACCTAAAGCTACATCCTCAATCAATCTGGTAGCGAAGTGGCACTTCGGCACGTGTGCTGGGAAATTCATACCCTTCCTCAATGCTGTCAATTTTCTGTCTGCTATGCGTGTAGTACGGTCACGAACTGTGCGTTCGGTATTTTGATCTGAGTTCTCCGAGCATAAATTTACCGTTCGTTTATTTAAAAAGTGTACTAGGTGCAGGCTCATTCACGTTCGTTTGTTGAAATTTCGAGCCCTCTGATAATCGTTTAACTGCTCTATGCGTTCGCTGGTCACGTGATTACAGCTCCGCTCTGCACGCTCTGCTCTTCGAGCAAAATATCGAACGCAAGGATAACCTGAATTATTTTTTACCATACTGCGCATGACACATGTCGGCACGCATCGAAAAAGCTTGCAGCTTGCACTTCGAAGTCAGCGTGCATGCTAGCACGGAATTGAATTGAGGATGCCAACGTTAAACCACATTATCCTAGCATGCGTGCCGAAGTGCCACTTCGCTACCAGATTGATTGAGGATGGGCCTTTACACCTGAGAAAACCTGAGTGGGAAGTTTTTCGTGCTCCACTCTGTATGTTCTGTATATAGACATCCACTCACCAGTCGGTAACAAGCGGTTGCGACGTTGATTATTTTGGTGAGAGATAAATTTGGAACACCTAACCAAGAAGTTGGTTGAAATATTATACAGGGTGACCACTTAATGCGATATCGGACGATATCTCCTTACAGGGCGATGCAAGAAAAAAAAATATTGCAAAGTTGTTTGATACTCTAATATGCATTAGTTAAAAACATTTTTGAATATACAGGGTACTCCGTTTAGAGAGTACCTATGCGACAGGGCTTTCTTTTTTTAAACGAAACACCCTGTATGTGATTGCATATTTGAATTCTACGTAAAATTCTGAGCAGATTTCATGTTCATGTTCATGTTCAATACGTAAGGTTAACTGTTTTCGAAATATTGACAGTTAAAAATTAACTTTTTGCACCTTTGACAGGCTGTTAAACCTAAACGGTTAATTTTTGACGAACACCGATTTTACATTCCTATTTTAAATTTTTATAAACTATCATTTGGCACCAACTCTGAATTTAATCCATAATTAAAAATTCCAGTTAAATTTAATCTTTGGTTAAATTCAAAGTTGGTATCAGACCTTTACCTACTGCCACCCATTTGGTACCACGCTTCAAGCCAGACACGCTCTGTACAATCTGCATAGGTGTGGCAATAAAATGTCCTGACCCTTTTGCAATAGTACTGGATTTCAAGCTGGATAAATATACAGTTGTTCTGTCATCATCGTTCCGGTAATATGTCGCTATAATTTGTGGAAATAAAACTCGACTAAACACCAGATAACTCAATTATATACTTGATTTCAGTAGTTCAAGAATATATTTCACCCAAGATCAACGTTAAGGATCCGTAAGCTATTGTAATGACAAAAGATTGCGGAAATGTTCGTCTTCTTGTAGAGTTCCAAGTGTTACAAAACGATTCTTTCGAAAAAAAATTATGAAAGAATCCATTCTCTTTTTCAGCATTGGGATTATTTTCTAACATTTGGCAATAAAATAAAAACTAAATACTCTGAAAGACCGAACGTCTCTCCAAAAGTGGACTTACTCTGTCAGCATTGCTGGTGTGAAATCAATAGAAATTTTCCAATACGTTTCGCGTTGCCTCTTTTTTAAATTTTTGATTGAATAGTCACAAATAATTGCTGAATTTAAATGTCTTCACTGGTGTATTAAATAAGGCCAGAAAATATAGAATTTTTTTGGGAATTGGTTTTCTATTAAGTTTTTTGGTGTTTTTTGATATTTTTCTGTAACTCTTTGTTTTCACTGGTTGTTATAATTTCTAAAATCTTTTCAATTCCTTCGAATTTTTATACCTGTTATTCTTCGGATCAGCTTTTATTTTCTGGGGCAAATTTTCATTGTAGCTAACTTGGCCGAGTTAAATTGTTTTTCTTTACCGTCCCTCATTTGTCTGGTTATTTTACACTTGATAGACATTTTTATTACGCAACAAATTCAATAGGGAAGGTATTTTTAGTGAAATGGCCTTTATTCGAACAAAATGCCCTACAAAATAGACGTTGAATAACATTTCCTGTGTGTTCGTAATGTAAAATCAATTCGATGCTTCGATCCTTTCTATTTGTACACGTGGCATCCTCTGTACTTGACATTGACGAAATTCTTTGTGTCATTGGATGAATATGCTTGTATCACACTGATTTATTTGTGTTTGGAAATTGTAAAACGCTTGTATGTTACAGCGGAAATTAAATTTAATTAAAATAAATGAAATTTAATGTTTCCCACTCAAATTACAGTTTCACCGGAAATAAAAGGTACCTTTTATTCAAGGTTGAGAAGATTCATAATTTTTCATCGATTTTGTTTGATACATCAGAGCGCGGCTCACTCTACCTAACTACGCTCAGAGTGTTGGGTTTTAGTACCCATTGGTACACCTTGAAGAGAGCGCAACTCGACTGTATGAAACTGATTCAAATATCCAAAAAAATAGCCAATCTAGAAACTATTCAAAACTATTTAGATATAGATCAAGTAAAAAATCTATTGAACAAATTAAATCCGATATTTGAATTTATACCTATACCAGAGACCCATACTTTCCATAGAAAACACATAATAATCGTGAATTGGCACGAGATAGCATATGACGTCACGAAAATAAAGAGAGCAACTCATTCGAGATCAGGGATGGCAGCACCAAACTTATACTACTGGGCGAAAATTAACCAAAAATGGACAGGGTTATCCGTGAAAGTAATGCTGGCCTTGACAGCCTAAACTCTTTGAAATCAAGAAAGACATTAGAACAGAAATTCGAATTAAAACAATAATAGAATTTGACGTGTAAAAACGGCGAAGAAGACTAGAATGGCTCCACTCAAGTCTTCCTCTGACAGAGCATCCATTCCTCTTATTATAACCATTCCACTTTTTCCTTTATCTTCTAGAATCCTACATTTATGGCAAAACATTATATATTTACATTGTTTCCTTATTTCTTTTTGCAGAGCATTGTCGTTAAAGTTCAAAACAACCCACGCGCCTCCCGGAGACACATTGGTCCATCGAGGAGACGTTTTAACGTCGCTTTACTTCATTTCAAGAGGCTCAATCGAAATCTTAAGGGACGATATTGTGATGGCTATTATTAGCAAATTTGATATATTTGGAGAAAATCCTTGTTTACATAATACAATAGGTAAGAATTGTCGTCAATGTGAGTGCAATATTTGTAAAGGTTTTAATGAAAATCATTTATAAATTATTTTGGAACTTTTTTTTTAGGAAAGAGTGCCTGTAATGTCCGAGCACTAACATACTGTGATCTACACAAAATCCACAGAGACGACCTATTGGACGTTCTCGAATTATACCCGGAATTTTTCAATCATTTCCTAACCAATTTGGAAATAACTTTTAATTTAAGAGATGTAAGTAAGCAGCTGTACTGAAACTTGCAAGATTATCTTTTCACTTTTTTTTATAGGAAGATCAAGCTGGAGTTGTACCAAGAAGATCTTTCTACCCTAAAAATAAAGAGTGTAGATACTTTAGAGGCGTGCCAAGTGCAAGATCAAATGGTTTGAGTTCGAGAGGAAATTCTGTGAATGGCAGACAGGAGAGTCAATATAGCGATGAATCCGAGTCAGGTGAAGAAACTTTCTTATTTTTATTTAACTTGCATTTCGCAGGAAATGTTCCATTGTCATCACTATTCAAAATAAACTCTTCAATTCCCAGTTTTTCTTCTTGTTGTTAGACGGTTTTAAGGCCGCGTTAATGGCCGCCATGTTTAAACTGTGATTGGTTGATTTTTCGAAACTTGTTTTAAGGTCTTTAAAAAAACGGCACATCAGAATTGGCTCAAATTTGGCATAAACATTATTTGATCGATTATCTACAATTCATTATTTTGGTTTTTCGATATTCAGCCTTTTTTTTTAAATTCAAAAATCATGTTCGCAACCACCAAAACAATTAAATGTGTTGGTGGTTGCATATTTGCATGTTTATCAAGCTTGGATCCGTGAAAAGCATATTTTATTGATAATCACGAAAAACTAAAAAAAGCTAATAGTAGAGATTGGAGATAATATATCAAATAATGTTTATGCCAAAGGATTTCGGAAATTATTGCGGATTTTTTGAGATGACCTTAAAACGAATTTTGAAGGTGAAAACAGTTCAAGCAATTTCAAGTAGATGGCGTCACGGCAAAAAAGCTACATTGGGAGCATCATAGTTGTATATTTTCTTTATCTGTCACTAAGTGTTTCACCGACAAACAGATTTTGTTTTGGACAAATAATAAAATATTAGACTATCCAAAACACGTGACACAAATATGGCCGACAAGAGGCACACAAACAGTTGACTCAAACACAAACCATAACGTCATTAGGTTATGTCATTAATGATCATAATCAAATAGTCATTTTCTATTGTGTGCGTCTCAATTTTTGGCCGTTTCTACCCAATTACGGAATCCCTATTGTTTGGGCAAGATTGCTCTACCTACATTTCACTTGGACACCCAGGACCTACCCTTAAAATGTGAAAATATTTATTTGTTGCAACTCCACCGTCCAGTATTGTGCTACCTACTTTACATAATGGATACAGGAGCATCTACAGAAAGGCGATGAAACAGGCAAGGAAGATTTATTACAATGAGAGGTTGGGCATCCGCATCCAATAAACAAAAAGAGTAACGACCAACGCGAAAAAAAAAAAGAAATATACATATGTGCTTCCAATTTGAAAGCAGATAATATTAATTCATACTACTGTACGATTGCTCAGAAACTGAGTATCAAAAATAGAAAATCTTCTGGATGGGACGATATCTCAGTTAGGCTGTTGATGTGTTAGCGGATTCCATTATTAATTCTTTTCTTACCGGAAGTTTTCCCTCATTTTTGAAGCAATCTTGGGTAGTACCTTTGTTTAATAGGAGGGTGATAAGAATTTACCATCTTATTACCGGCCAATATCCTTACTGGCAACTTAGACTAAAATTGTAGAGTGGCTAATTAAGGTGGATGGTGAGCTTCCTTGATAGACATGAATTGCTTTCTCTGTCTCTGTTTCAGCAGTCAAAAAACACTGATGATGCCATATTTCATCTCCTGGATGAGCTGTTTTAGAAGATAAATGACGAAGAAGTGGCCGCGGTAGTTTTTTCTGACCTGAAAAAAGCTTTCGATTGTGTCTGTCATGAAGTACTGCTTCTAGCGGTGCAGTACTTCAGAGGGGTTGGATATCACTGCAGGAGTGCCCTAGGGATCTGTTCTATTTCTAACATTAATAAAAATACGAGTAAAAAGAACGAGTATCAAAACGCAAATGAACAATGAGCACTATTTTTTTGAAAAAAATTTCATGACACATTGAATGACACATAAAAAAAGGGTTTGTGTGCCTCTTGGCGGCCATTTTAATTCAAGTTTGACAGCATCTTGGATAGTTCAATTGAACCCTATGTGTAGAGTGACGCAGTCGTCATTTTCAAAAACTAAATTTAAACATGGCGGCCATTAACGCGGCCTTAATACCAGAAATATTTAAAAAAAATCGTCTTGACTTGACAGTCTCTAGACTTTTCTAGAATAAATTGTACAAGTATCTAAGGACTTGGCTGAGGGTGTTAAGCATGTCAAACATAGTCACTAAAAAAACAGTATTTTTATCAAAATAAGGAAGCAATAGCAAAATTATCTGGCACACATAGATTTTGAAATCAAACTCATCCATTGGCTGGGTTTGACTGAAATCATTCTATTATAGGGTGACCATATTTTTTTTGTGTGAATGCTGTACACATTTATGTACAGGTAAATTTATCACCTTTCCCTATCAAAAAGCATTGAACGGTGATAAATTTTACCTGTACCTTTGGACTACAGATTGTAAATAGGATACAAAATTTTGGGACAGGTGAGTGGGGAAAGCACTAAACATAGAGGCACTAAATGCAAATTTTGTCGACTAGCCTTGTGTTCGATATTTTTCTCAGAGAGTAGAGCGTGCTGAGCGGAGCCGCAATTACGTGACTGAACGCTGTATCAGAGTGCCCGAAATATTAATAAACGAACGCGAATGAGCCTGCACCGAATACACTTTTTGAATACACGAACGGTAAATTCAAGCTCAGAGAACTCAGATCAAAATACCGAACGCACGGTTTATAGCCCGTTTTAGTAACACTAGTTCGCACAGAAATCACAAACCAGTCAGAGTGAATTTCATTGGTTGAAACTTGAAACCAAGATTGTTTGAAAGAGGTAGGTTGGTTGGTAACTTTTATGACGTCATCTGGATGCCTAAACATAATGCAAATCTACATTAGATCTTCCTGATGACGTTATCTGTTTACCATTACCAGACAACCTATAACCTATTAGGTAACTTTAGGAACCTTGGTTTAAACCTAGTTTTCTGACTGTTTCTGACTTTCCGACTATTTTCAACCGATGAAATTCGCGCTGTCTGGTTTGTGATTGCTGGGATCACGAAAGTAGAATTCAACTTCCATGACGTCACCCGCGACCTATTTATCGCGTACATAAGAACAAAATACAGGCGATGATAACAGTTACTAGGCAACCTGACGTCATGAAAGTAAAATTCTAGTAGAATTCTACTTGTCGCGATCCCAGCCCTGTCTTCTTCTTAGCGGTATGGAATAGAGAGAGATAAAAAAAAAAGTTAGCATTAAAAAGAAAACTCTGGGAGATGACGGCGTAATTGACGTGAATCGCAAATGTAGTCGTTAGGACGGACAATTTTTCGTATTTTTTTGTTTCAGAAAAACTTAATTATGATCGGATCCGAATCGCTGTACGTTTGCTGTACAAAATCAAATGTTGGACAGATTTTGAAAATACTGTACAATACAGCGAAATGCTGTACGTATGGTCACCCTATTCTATTATGATTTTTATGTGGACTAAAAGGGTGTAAATCAAAAATCGAAGTTTCTGTATAACAAATTCTGAGAACAATATTTCAAGCCTCACCCTAACAATTTTCGAGATATTCGCAAAACAACCGTGGAAGCGTGACGTCACAACCGCTCGGATACTGTAGACTTAGACTCTAATTAAATCCTATGACTCTCACTCAAATATGGTTTGACTCAAATAGGTGAAACATGGCTTTTGGTTCTGAACGAAGTGCACAAAAGCAGAGTCTGTTGGGCTCCACGCGGTTGTGACGTGACGTCCAGGTTTTGTTGCAAACTCTAAAGACTGATATTTTTTCAAAAATCCAGCGAGTTCAGAATTAATCGTTCCTCCTTTCTTGTAACGTGTAATTCGACAAAGAGCAAACTAATACTTCACGTATTACTTGAACTCATCGCAGTGTTGTTTAGGGTTATGTTAGATTATACTTGACATATTCCTTTGCAATTTCATTGTGCGATGTTGCCGGATGAAACATTTATCAAAATAAAAGTGCAAACGATGTTAACATACACTTTAAAGGGCTTCTTTTGTCTGATTCAATGCTTTATAAAACACTTGAAACTATATCACTTTTTTAATGGTATAATGCTCGATTTGTATTGTCTCCATTTGTTCTGCAACAATACAAACTGGCTACACTGCAACCCACAAAATGCGCGCGCATGTCATCTTTTATTACTTTCTAACTTATATTTTTTACAATGAAGCTATCCTTTTCTATTTATGCGAGAAAGGTTAATTGGATACCTACAACAACTAAAAATTGAATTTTTGTCATACACTCCCAAAAACACCTATTTTACGGACTCATTCAAGTCCGTAAAATGCTTCTTTTTAGGATTTTTTTTTCTATCTGGATGCACCTTTATGATTTCAAAAATTAAGGAAAATTTGCAAATTTTAGCGTCCTGAAGAATTCCAAAAAGCGTAGGTATGACAAAAAATAGTGTTTGTCACATGTACTTAAACGAAGTTTTTCAGGATGAATATGAGCAGTGATTTTAGGTACTTTTGACAACTGTTTTTCCTCAAACATCGAAAAATTACGACTTTTTTAACCTCAAATCTCAATGTTGAAGTTTGATTTCACAGACGTGATTTTTTTATTACTTTTTTGTCTGGCCATGACGTGAGCGTACAAATATAGTTAGAGAGACGACCGCATTTTTCCTACTCCGATCGAGTTATGTGTCGACACTATTATCAATATATAGTATTATGTGCATCTATTAACCGGTATTCCTGCGTGAGAGCAAATGCTGCCGGAAATATATTTTAACAAATTATTAACAAGTTGAAAAAAACGTAACACTACCCCCATCGAGTTATGCCTTAAGTAGGGTATCAGATTGAAGGTCTCGATGTCCCCTATCTAGAAAGTCGATCCTGCCTCGTGAGAACTTGCCGCAAAAGGGTGGCAGGACAGCTTATTGGGGCAAGGGCCCGCGGTCTCAGCTTTGAAACCTATCAAGTTTTGCGCTGAATGATGTGTCAAATTAAAGGTGTCAATAAGTTGATTTAAGGTCTCTTCGCACAGAAATCCCAAATCAGAAGGAGTGAATTTCATTGTTTGAAACTAGTTTCCTGACTGGTTTGTGATTTCTGTGCGAACAGACCTTAAATCAACTTATTGACACCTTTAATTTCACTCATCATTTAGTGCAAAGCTTGATAGGTGTCAAAGCAGAGACCGCGGGCCCTTGCCCCAATAAGCTGTCCTGCCACCCTTTTCCGGCAAGTTCTCACGAGGCAGGATCGACTTTTTAGATAGGAGCCATCGAGACCTTCAATC